GGTGTACCTTCCCCCGCCCCCGCAACCGTTTAAAAATCCCGCCCCTGTCCCCAACCAAAACTGTAAAAATAGAGGAACTTTCCACCTCATCCCCGTAACTGTTTAACATTTTTACCCCTGCGGGTACCCGCTCTGCCCCGTTTAAGACCACAACTTATTTATTATTGAAATAGATTTGCTCGTTTTTTTCCCCTCATCTTCAATTATTCACCATTGCAAGTTCCTTTTAATGAAATTCATTTGTTACTTTAATATTGTTATATAGGGTACTTAATATATAGTGGGATATATATATATATATATATATATATATATATATATATATATATATATATATTGATGAAATAAAAGTACTTAAGTAATTTGCTATCTAAACGGGGCAGGGCGGTGCGGGGCGACCTCCCCCGCCCCCGCATCAAACCCGCGCGGGTTTTTATTACATCAAACCATTCCCGTCTAAATAAGCAAAACGGTCCCCCAAAACCGTCAAAAACGAGACGGGATGGAAGTAATCGCGGGAACGGGTCAAAATGCCATCCTACCGTTTATGACTGGTGACAAATAATTTACTTCTATATTCAATGGCGTCCCCTGCCAAATTCCTCTTCTACTGCGTATTTAATTAACAGCTACCTTATTAAATTACTTATGATCTAACAAAGAATTGTTTTTATGTTCAAACACGTCTTGTACCCAATTCATCCTCTACTACATATTAAATTAACAACAATCCAATTAAATTAAATTACTCGTTGTTCTACCCCTTCTATGGTGATTCTAGATTATTCAACCATTCAACAAAGTAAAAAATAATCCAACATTTCAACACTACTATTTAGTCAATCATTCATACCATTCGACCAAATCAACTAACAGTGTCTCTATCTAACAGCATCTCTAACAGTTCATTAATTAATTAATTTTTTTATTTATTTTTTTTATTTTATAAAATATATACTACCACATATAATATGTGTAAAATATAATATTTTACATAATCTTTTTACACAGTCATATTAACATATTTTATTTCTCAGAAATATATTTTTACACAAAAAATATAAAATATCAATTGGAGTTAAAAATAAATAATTCAAAATTTTGTACAGATCTATCGTGATACATCAAATTTACGATGCTCTAATTATTCAAACAAGCCCAATCCAAAAAAGAGTTTGTGATCCCCATGTATTAGCCGGAAAAGGAATGAATAAGTGTGTGAAGGAGATTTATCCTGCAAAATGACTTGAATTTTCCAAAATAACTCTAATTGTACCCTATCTTATAAACTCTTTGTAATTAAGAAACTAATCATATTAATTTCAATTACGAAACTGACCAAGAGATTGACTCGCTATAGTAAAATAGTGAATCCTACAAAACAATAAAATAAGTTAAAAGATGCTTCACTTTTCTGCAATGGTACTCTAATGCTAAAAAAAATGACACATTTAACCCTAATTTCATAAATAAATTATTAATTTTTCAAATACCATTACTATCATTTTAGCTATGGAAAGATCTTTTCATTTATATGAAAAGATCTTTTCATCTCCCCCTCTTTCTCTTCCATTAGCATTTTGAACTTTCATTATTATTATTATTATTATTATTATTATTATTATTATTATTTTCTTCGCTTGCTCTTTCATACCATACAATAAGTGTTAATGAGTATTGTTCAATGTTTACCAAATATCAATAATTTAAAGTGGAAAGAAAAAGAGAGAGCGTGTGTGCCAATAATAATCCGCACTTGAACACTTTCGAGATTTCCAGAAAATCGGGGTGAAAGACAATGAAGAATACCTCAAAAATCCCCTCCACCATCTTCTTTTATTTTTAAATAAAATGAAAGAGAGCTCCAAACACAGCTAATGAATTGAATTGAAGAACATAGCTTGTTAGACAAGAAAGAAAGAAAAGAAAAAAGAAGAAAAAGAAGATAGAATTGAATAACCATTCATTTTCTAGAGAGAGAATACATATAGAAAAACACAGATGACCAAGATTTCCTTTAATATCAACTGTTTCTAATTTGCTAGTAAAATGGTGAAATTTTTTTAGCTCTTTAACAAAAAAAAAAAAAATTACTAAAGGAAGTAAAAATAGAGTGTCAATTGTAAAGTGGAATGCAAATACATTCCACGTTAGTTAAATTTCATAATATATAATTAATATTAAAAAATATATATATCATTATTCTACACCTATTAGTCAATAATATTGAGATTTGCGCGCTAGTAGGGAAATACGGGACAAATTTCTTTTTTCTTTTTTTCATAAAGTAATTGTTTTCAAATTTAGATATGATTGTTTCCCATTTTGTTAATCCGAGTTTCTACTATTGCACAAGTAGCAATGATATAATATATATATATATATATATTATTTTTTATTTAAAGTTAATAATACAATTTCAAGTAGGAGAGGAATGTTTGATGTTTCCAAATAAACTGTAGTTGGACCATTTTTTTCTGAAACTCTTTACAATTAAGAAAGTGATTATATTACCTGCAATTTAAAGAGATTGACTTGGTGTAGACAAAATGATAGACCCATCAAAGTGATAAAAATAGTTAAAGTTTAATTAATGATACACTTGTTTTATTTTATTTTATTTTTGACTTTGAGCTTGTTCGGCCTTGGTCAGTTTGGTCTCTCGAGACCCATAAAGAATTATTTAATGGGGTCTGCTGAACTGAAGTGGATTCCTCATTCCTGCTATGGTCCCACGCTATATGTCTCTTTAGTCTTTTATTTAACCAAGGGTTTTTTTATCTTAAAATTAGAATCAATAAAATTGAAAAAATAATTAGTTGAATTTTGTTAATTGTTTTTTTTTTTAATTTTATAAATTTCAATTTAAATTTTTTAGAATTTAAACCAATCATTCAACATTTATTACTTTCAAAATTTTCTTTATCCATCCTTCTATTTGTCAATGACCTTAGAGTGACTTTCAATTTAAAAAACCTGTAATGTCTTTATATTACATTTTCTAAAAAAAAAAAAAGATATATTGTTATTTTATAAAATTTGGTAATAGTTTTGTCAGAAAAGAAAACTCTGTAAGTGTCCTTAAGTACAAGCATCAAATCTCAAGATATCAAAGTAATAAATGTTAAACGGTGTATAATTTATTCACAAAAAGAAAAAAAAAAAGTCATGTAATTTACCCATAAAACTCCCACCGCCTTTGTCTAATTCAATAGTTTGAAACTAAGTTACATAAAGTGTGAGCGGTAGCGAGAGCGAATTCGAAAGCGGGAGCATAAGAACGACATAATTAATTCATAAGTAGTAAGAATTTAAACGAGAGCGCGCGCAGAGCGCGAAAGAGAGAACACGCTCGGAACGTGAAAGCGACACCTGTTGAGAAAAATTGTGTGACTTAGGCATGAAAAACATGAATGTCAATTTCAGTAATAAATATATATAGCATATGCATGTCATTGTCAGCAATAAATAAATAAATATATATATATATATATATATATATATTTATATATATATATATATTCCTAAAGAAAGGCTCCTCTATCACGTAGTATACAATTGCACTATATTCTTAAATGTAATGACACATCTAATCTTAATTATACAAATTAATAATTATTTTTTTCAAGTTTCACATTCACCATTTTCAGTTTTGGTAAAAAGAAAATTTTGTTTCTCCCTCTTTTCTCAGTTAGCCTTTTTTTATTTATTTTTTGTTAACTCATTTTTTTTTTAGCCTCTGTCAACTCTTTCTCTATTTTATATTAACTTTCTTTTCTCTCTCATTTGAGTGGTCCTTATGAATAACAATGAAAGAACTCACAAATTAAAAAAAAGGTAAATTGTATTGACACTCTTTGATGTTTTGGTCAATGTCACTCAGATATAGGTCAATGACTTTTTTAACAATGACACCACATATGATTTCAAATGTCATATTTATCCCTAATTATTTAATTGAATTAATTTACAAAATATCAACCATATCAATTAACAAAAGTATCACATCATTAAGTCTCTTTCTCTACCTTAATCTTTAAATTAATTTTTTTTTTTTTGGACATGGATGCCCTTTTTTTTTCCCTGTTGTGGTGGTTTTGGGCTAGCTATGACTGTTTTTAAATTTTTTTTCCCTACTCTGGTGGTGGTGGTTGTGATGTGATTTAGGTGTGATTGTGATAGTTATGGTAGTGTCTAGGTTTTAAAGGTATTTCAAAAAATCTATTTCTATTTTTCTATCGTGGTAATGGTGGTGGTTTCAGTAGCGTCTGGGTGTGTTGGTAGTTCTGGTAGCATTTAGGACGCATAAGTATGAATTGACCATGATTGTTTTCAATTTTTTTTTTCTACGTGTTTGGGTGTGGTGGTGGTGGTGGTGGTTATGGTGGTGTACAGTTATCTGACTATTTTAAAAAATATATATTATTATTTTTTATTTTATATTTTTATTTTTAAGATGTGGTGGTGGTTATGGTGTTATAAGTATTATTATGTATAAACTATATTTATATGTATAGAAGAGATGAAAATATTAGTTTTGTCCATTAAATTTAGTTAGGGGGTTAAATTTTTAATTCCATAATTTAAATGAAGTTGTTGACAAGTCAAAAGGTTAAATAGTAATTTCATATGGTTTCAGAAGTCCAAAAATAATAATAATAATAATAATATAATAATAATAATAATAATAATAAATTAAATAACAAGAATATCCCTAAGCTATTATGTAATTCCCTTTGATCGCCCCCCAATTCCTCGCCCGGTTTTTTATTATTTGAAAGGCGGTTCTGATCAATTGTTACATTAAGAGGAATGAGAATTTGACCCAGCACTTGTCATGACATGACATGACTTGTAACTGCTTATCTCTTCCTTCCAGCCGCACGGTCTTCACAGTTGACAGAGAAAGAAAGTCTAGAGAGAGAAAAAAGAAACCCGCAGTATATACACTACATAAGGCTAAGGTTAGTCCCCCACCACAACCTTCCTCCTCTCTCTCTCTCCTTCACTTTCTCTCTCTGAAACTTTGGAGATGCAGTGAGTAACAATTAACCACCAAAGTCATACATATATTCTCTCTCTCTCTCTCTCTCTCTCTTCAAAAATTAAGCTTAGTCGTTCTCTGGAAAATCAAATTTTCAGGGAGGACTCAACTTATCGAGCAGGTCAGCTTATGCGTTTGTCATTTTGAGCTAGAACACCAAGATTTTAGAGTTAATTATATATATATATATATATATACATACACACGTATGTATTGGAGATAATCACATTTATACTTTTGATATCTAATTGTTTTATTTTCTAAGGTCTAATTTGGTTGCAGAGAAATGTAGGAAAATGGAAGAAATCAGACTTTTTATTTTATTTTTTTATTTTTCATTGTTCGAGTGAAACCCAAGGTCATTTTTTGCAGAAACTAATCTTTTTTGACACCCAGATCTGATTTGGTTGGTTCTGTTTCTAGATCTGTACGGGCAGCCTGATGAACCCTATTTTTTGGTGACCATCACTTTTGGGCAACAATAACAGATTTTTGTATCAAAAAACTCCCAGCATGGTTAGGTCTCATTTTCATCGGTACAAAAATGCCTTAGCGCATGTGATTTGGATATCTTTTACCAGTGTTATCCTTTTCATTTTCCCAAGGACATCCCAATTAGCTATCCCCTCTCTCTCTCGCTTTATATATATATATACACACACACACACACATACACACATGTACGTTCTAGCTTTTCCTCAAAGACTCTCTTTCATGTTTTCTTTATTGTACAAAAAGAAATGTAAACTTTTAATGATTTTGAACTCAGAATTTATCGTATCACTACTCAGAAATTTTCTTCATTCACACACACACACACATATATATATTGAGATGCTAGCTAGTAGATCAGTTCCCATCCAAGATACATGTTCATTTCAAAAAAATTATTACATGGTCCCTGACACGAGTGGAGAGGCCCACCACTAATTGTGGGAGAGTTGGAACAATGAATATTTTCTTGCGAAATTCGTAGAATATGATTGAAACTTGTATGTAGATTTAATGTATATGCTCTCTCCGCAGGCGAAAGAGAAAAAGGGCGCGAGGGCAGTTTGAGTACTTTGATGGGTTCTTCTATGAGTTCTAAAAGCAAAGGTAAGACACCTCGTCACCCTGGTTCCTATAAACTTTTCCTCAACTTTTCGTTCAATTTTTTTTAACACCTCATATTTTTATTAGGCCATTTCACCAGCACCAACTTGGTCCTCGTAGACCAGGATCACATACAGTTGTTTTGGCTGTTATCCCTATGAAATCAACACGCAATCTCAGTATTATATATATATATATATATATATATATATATATATATATATATATATATAAATCAGAGATTGGGTATATATTTAAAAGTGATTTGAGTTTGTTTGCATGTTGAGAAGTTCCATTTTCTTTCCGGTATTGTTTGGTGAATTAATGGATGTTTATTGTTAAAAATCATCCGACAGAGGATGAGATTTTACAGTCGACCCCTGATTTGAAGAGCTTTGGCTTTAGTGAACTCAAAAAAGTCACCAGAAACTTCCGTCCAGACGGTGGTTCAGCTGGTCTTGTCTTAAGAGGGTGGATTGATGAGAATACATTTAAAGCTGCCAAACCAGGGACTGGCATGGTTGTTGCTGTGGAGACACTAAACCAGTCACGCGACTTTCACGGTAGTCACCAGGAATGGCTGGTATGTATAATCTCCGCCGATATGATCAGAATCCTTAAATTGGCACATCTTGTTACTTTGGTAGGGTACAATGTAAGGCATCACTAGATTTAATTTAGCATGTAATAACCATATATAATTGAATTTTTTATTCTGATGAGCCTCATCTACGTACCATTTCAAACACAAGAATTTAATAGTAAATTAATTTTGCATGTAATAAATAAAAATGAATTCTTAACTCTGATGAGCCTCGTCTACCATTTCAAAAAGACATCACTAGAATTTCCGGGATAAAACCTAATCATTTTAGTTATTAATTTGTTACTTACAGGCAGAAATAAATTATTTGGGGCAGCTGTCTCATCCCAATCTTGTGAAACTCCTTGGTTATTGTTTAGAGGATGAACATCGGCATCTGGTATTTGATGAGTCCATGCTGTGGGGTAATTTGAAAAATCATCTATTTTCAAGTAAGTTCTTAATTAATTAATGTCATTAGCTCTTTAACCATTCCGCTGATTTCCTAAAGTTGGGATGTTAATTACAGCCTCCAAATATTTCTCTTTATATATATACATACATACATACATATATATATATATATATATATATATATATATGATTAAGAGAATGTGTTGTTGGAATTAACAGGGGGTTCTTATGTTGAACCACTTTCTTGGAACCTTCGTATGAAGGTTGCTCTTGGCGCTGCAAAGGGACTTGCATATCTTCACAGCCCAGAAGCAAAAGTCATATATCGCATTTTCCAATCCTCTAATATCCTGCTTAATTCTGTATGCTTCTTAATTCTGAAAGTTGAACAATATATATCTATGGACTTCCACACATAAATTTTCCATTGTTAATTGACAGGACTTCAATGTAAAGCTTTCTATTTCAGAGTCGACCAAGGTTAATGATGAATTTCATATCATTGGTTATATACCTCCTGATCTGTCCATATGTAATGGTAAGGAAGTGGCATATGCACCTCCTGAGCTTGTAATCACAGGTATTCTAAATTCTCAGCTTAATTTGTTCGATCATTAACTATTCATTTGGCATTCCGGATATCCATCAATTCATTCTCTTTACCTGTTCTGAAGGCTGGTCAACTACTAAAAGTGACATATTTGGTTTTGGGATTGTTCTCCTGGAGATTTTGACTGGTCAAGAAGCATTTGGGTATTGCAAATTTGTTGAATTGGTAAAGGCTTACATGGCCAGCAAAGGCAAAACTGTGGGTCTAATTGATCCTAGCATCCAAGGCCAGTACTCGGTAGGTGCAGCACTAAGAGCAGCTACAATTGCTATGCATTGCCTCCAACCAAATTCCAAGTTGAGGCCAAACATAAATCAGGTGGTGAATGCTTTGGAGAAGCTTCAGGAGCCTCACACAACATCATCATTAATCCACCAGGTAGGAGATGGAGTGACAATAGAAAGGTGACTAGCATCTCTCTTACTAAATATTAGTTGTTGGAACTTGTATTGACGACTGAAGTCGTGCCATGTACTTGTCAGTAGCGATTGTAACTAACATGTCTCTTAATATATTTATTATACAATTATGTCCTTGACAGTGGATTCAATTCCATTTATTCCAGCCAAGGGGTTGACTCGAGTGGTGAAATCTCCTATAATTTATTGTCTCGTATGTGAAGCATTAAGTCTGGATCCGAATCCTTTCGAGTGTAATCAATTCTTTAGGGGTCATGATCACGGACATAATTCGAGCTTTACTCAATTTGTATGCAAAAGTCTACTTGAACTACTTCCGTGAATTAGTTGAAAACACCCATTATCGAAAAAAAAAATTAAATCCTTTGGGACATATTGATTTTCATATAAAACGTATTAGTGAAATCACGATCCTTTAATTAATTAGCACAAGCAAGCCATGTGTGATCAATTGATATTCATCATCCCATGTGTGGCATTATTGACACTATCATAAAAATCAACTGTCGGAAAACTAAATTAAACACCATTGTGTGAGTTAATTTTGAGTTATGAACAACACAGAGAAGTCAAAACATATATGGTCATATATGATGTAAGCCTCATCATGTGATCACAGTTCTTTATCACTAATGTAGCCCCAACATAGCAACACCAATACATAAAGTCTCACTGCACCTTATTTGGTGTAGCGCCATCTTTTAATATATATATATATATATATATTGTCATGATTCTGCATTACATATATCATATAATGTGAAAGCAACCAATTAGAAATTGTGAGTACTAATATGAAGCCAAAGGACATGGAATGGTAGATGTGTTCATAATTAAGTTTATGAGACAGATCAATCAACAATATATAAGCTAATTTAATTATATTTAAGCAATTGATTATTTGATATAACATATATAAATAAACGGAGAGACATAAAGTAACTATACATGCTGTTGAAAGAAATGGTATTTGTAATTTCATTCAGCTTTAATGAAATTATTGTCTCAATTGTTATATTGAGTTGAAGTAAATTAACTAGATATAGAGAAACTATTATATGGTCTAGTTTCGAGTCAATTACATGTTAACAAAAAAGCAAATGTGTTGAATTTATATTAGTTTTATTTAATTTTTTGCTTATTTGTTAATTAGTCAACACATTTATTTGCGTGTCAACTACTGATTGGCAATAACATATAATAATTTCTCATAAATATATTCAAATGAAAAATACTTCTAAAGTCAAAAAAATGATAAAGTATTCCTTACTGAATGTTTCTACGCTCAACTCTTTGGCCCGAGTAACACTATTGTATTTGAATTAATTTTTTATGTTGGCTGACTTTAATATATAGGTGAACAAATTGAGGACCTGAAATGAATGAAAAGGCAACTAACATGGCGAGAAAAGTTTGGATAGTTTATTTTTTTATTTTTTAACTTTACATTTTAATTTTGAATAAATTATATTAGCCTCTTTTGATATTTGAACTAATTATATATATTGATAGACGGTACATTGTTTATTTACTTTCACCTCCCTTAAATTTAGTGTGTATGCTCAATAACATTTTTTTTTTTTTTTTCAACAAACTTCTATCTTGACCAAATTTTATAAAATAATAATTTTGTCTTTCTATAATATAAAATACACAATATAATAATATAGAATATTATTAAAGTATTAATTATTGAACCCGCTATTTGTATATAATTTAGAAAGTCTATGTAATTTACCTTCTAATTTTTTATTCTGTTTGGATTTTCTCGTCACGCTTTGAGGTAGACCAGTCAATTTTCTTTATGGGCAAGAAGGGCACGCTTCCTAAAATATCATCACTGGGTTTGACATCTCATGACCATAAAGACTTGTAATGGGGTTAATTTAGAATTTGACCCACCACATGACAAAGACATTGTTGGTCCGGTATTCCGATATGAAGCACCTCTGCTCCTCACAACCATAATTAGTAAAATACGATATGAAAAAAATACGGATATAAAAATGTATAAATATAATTTAATATTTTTAAAAAAAAACATTTTAAAAAAATAAAATTATAAAAATATGAATACGAATCCATGTGTATAATACATTATATGCACTAAAAGTTGGAGACCAAAAATTCAGCTATACGCATCTTTTTATTCTCTAATATACCATATATTTGTAAGGACAATTAAAAATATGTAACAAATAATAAAATAAATATATTACAATTAGCACTATCACAATAATCATAATAGAAATAAATTATCTAAATATAATTAATCAATAACCATAGGTCTATAACATGATCAATTCATCACAAAATAAATGAAAAAAATTCTAATTTAATTAATCATAGGTCTATGTTGCCTAAATTAAAAATAAAATGCAGCTGCTTGAACCTCTAAGGGTACTTTTGAACAAATTTCAATATCTCTACATTTTATCCCGATAAATGTGATTCGACTATTGAAATACCTCGACATGATCCCAAAATGCATTCTTTTTTTTTTCTTTTCTTTTTTCATCTTTCCTTGATAACCTATATATTTATAATAAAATGTATAAGTATATGGCGTAATACTTGTAAAAATATCTTTATATTCTATTAAAACAACTAGTGAATGTGGTGATTTACAAACTTCCAAAATAATAATAATAATACTAACAAAATTTAAAAGATCTCAAAATAAAATAAAAAATTTATAAATGTCTACAAACATCAATAAAAATCTATGATTCTTCAAAATTCTAGTGTTCCATAATATATATATGTGTTTCATTACTTTGTGATAGTAGAACAACTGAGTGGTCACAGCCTTTCTCGAGATTGCATAACAAATAGTATTATATTGATAGTGTGAAAGAAAAGGACTATACAAAACAAAAGACGCTAGTTTGAGTTAAGGATGTGTGTTTTAGAAAAATACATCATTAGAAACGTGAACGAAAAAAAATAATAAAAAAAAAATAGATTACCTTAAAGTATAAACACGAATTAAACGGGGCAACCAAAACAAATAAATGAATAAACGCAATACATACGGGATGATGAAAAAATCGCCTTTTTTATCGTATTTTTCAATTCTGATCAACAAACGAGAATATTTTTCCAAAATTCATACATACGCGTTTAGTTCACTTATGGTACACAAATTTACTAACTAGGCCCAAACATACCATACTTGATCATTCATATCATATCTCTCTTTTTTAATTTTAGTTTTCCACCTTAAATACACAAAAAAAACTTGATAGTGATTGTCATATCAATCTTGTTACTACTATTTAATAAAAATTATAAATATTATTAAAGTATCATTATTATAAAGTACATTAAACCTCCTTCAACTATTCTTCATCTGCAACTAACACCTCAATTATAAATAATATCCTCCAACTATTAAATTGGTTAAGTTTTAAGACAAAGAAAGTTTTTTGGTCCATTGTTGTTGACGAAAAATTTAAAAGACTCTTTTACCCCTTTTCAAAACTAAGTCATTTTGAAACTTAGTCACTCAAATAAATGACGTGGCAACTCGCAATCTCAAAGACGAATACAATATACTAGGGGTGGCAAAAGTTGACACGACTCGTCAACACGATTCGAACACGACACGAATTAAACGGGTTTGGGTTGACTTTAAACGGGTTCAGGTCATAAACGGTCGACACAATTAACCCGTTTAATTAATCGTGTCGTGTTTGGATTGAGTAGTTCAACCCGTGTAACCTGATTATACACGTTTAACTATATATGTCGTAAATAAATTTCTATTTAAGTTCTAAAATTACTATATAAACTTGTGTCTTATAATTTAATCTTTTGTAAATTAGAAACTATTTAGTAATTTGGTTGATTAAAACTCTTTTTTTTTTTTTAGTATTTATTATTTTATTGAGTATTATTAATAATTTAAATAATATATATTGGTAAATAGGTCATTAAACGGTTTTCATGTGTAACCCGTTTAATAAACAGGTCAGGTTAGTGTTGAGAATTCCTGACACGATTATTAAACGAGTCGTGTTCGGGTTGAGCTGTTTAGTATACTATCCTTAAGTTGACACGACATGATTACGACCCGCGAACACAAATTGCCACCCCTAAGTATAACCGCCATGAACACAAACATCATATTGATTTTATCACATTTTTTTTTAATTATTATTGGTACTTTTTTTTTTTTCATTTGAATACGTGTACCAACCCCACAACATACAGACCATTCAAATAAAAAGTGCAGTTCAAAAGCGAGATCTCAAATACTTACCTCCTGGGTACCTGCCAACACCGCTATGTCCGTAGGGACTTATTATTATTACTACATTCAAAACCAACATTACATGCATATGTTTATATTCTATCTTCTTCTTCCCCAATATCTACCATGGTCGACCAACACCACCATCTCTCTGCACCAAGATCTCCATCGCCATTTAAGACTTTATCACAACCATGTGTATATATACAAGTGCCACACTGACAGATTCCAATGGCGACAGTAAAAATTAGTTCGGTGATTGAGTTTGCTAGTGATTGGATTTTGCTTGGTGATCGGTGACAAAATATTCATGGGGTTTTGTGATTAGGTTTGCTTGAGATTGGATTTTTCAAATCAGTTCTTGTAATTGGGTTTGGCGAGGGGATAAGAATTTTGCAATTTGGTTTATTTATTATTAGGGTTGAGAATTCTGCCGCTTGTGCCACTGACTCCCGAAATTGGAGCTGTCGCAGCGAAGCCAAATACGGCGGCCAGTGGTGCTCTGGATTTGCAGGAGACCAGAGTCCGACTTGTCCATAGCTTGATGGCCTACGTCGAGGTGGTCCAAGAAGACAATTGTGATACCCCTCGGATCCGAGTCACTGGTTGATCAGGCCCAGGCCCAAACCCGAGGGAAATATCAAACAATTAATATTTTAATGAACACAAAATACAAGATGAAATAATAAAAAGTAAATAAAAATAGCTGAAATGAATTCTAATGAAAAATCCTCAAAATAAAATTATTAAAATCCAAACTCCAAAACCTCCAATTAATTAACAACTCGGGAATCCATCTGGTGTACCCCTAATAAAAATCCCAACTGTAAAATGAAATAACTGAAGTATGATCCAAAGCTAATAAGTAAGTTGTTCTACGTAGTTGGTGGAATAGAAGTCTGTATCT